TCCAGATTTGAATAGATACTTGCTTGGGACATTCATAACCCAAGAATCAAGTTCCTTGGACCAAAAACCCCATAAAGTGATAAAGAAGAGATCTATTAAGCTATTAAGCAAGGTTGAGACTTGCTTACCAGAAAATGAAGAGGATGAGAAGTTATTTCCGGATCTACAAGCCTTTCCTTGAATCCCCCAAGCTTCTCCTTCTTCTTCAAGCTTCAAAGCACTCAAGAACACTCAATAATGGCTCACTATAACATTAGGGTTCAAGATCTAGGGTTTGGACAGTGGGGGCTGAGAATGGGGCTGAAAGGTGGAGAATAAGATGCTTAAATAGGAGACACAAAACCGGATTTAGGGTTTCTCAAACCCTGACCAACTCGTCGAGTAGGTCTTCCCGACTCGTCGAGTAGGTCCTTCCTACCAGCGTCTTAATCTTGCTTCTACTCGTCGAGTCACCCCCCTTGGACTCGGCGAGTAGACCTTCTTTACTTGGGGTTTTCTTCCTTTGATTAGCCTTCTGGGTTTTGGGTGTTACATTTTCACTCTAGAGAGACTGCCATCTCTGATCAATTCCATGCTTATCTAAAAGGCCCTCCCACCACTGGCCCCGTCGTTTTCAAAAAACCCTCCCACCTCAGAAAGCACTAGATCAAAAGTTGTACTAGTCGCCGAAGATGAAACCTCAAAGAACTCATGTACCAATCAAATATTCAACTCTTCTTCATCAAATCTTGAAAATATAAAACCCCTTAGGACCAACAAATCGAATTTTAAAAGGGGGATTTTGATTTTGGTACTTACAAGTAGTTTTCTGAAGACGACATTGTCGATTTTGCTGGTGATTTTGAAATGGTTTTGCAGTTGATTTTCTCACATGTGGTGGAGAGGGAGCGGTTTCCGGCGAGGGTGTGTGGGTTTCTTGAAATGGTTGTGGATTTTCACAGGTAGCGGAGAATGAGTGGTTTCCGGCGAGGGAGTGGGTGTGGGTTGAAGGTCTGCAGCGAGGGTGTGGAAGAAAGGTGCGCGTGAGTTTATTTGGGGGAGATAAAGCCTAAAGGGGTGGATTAATTTTTTTTTTATTTGTCACAAAAGAATTACGCAAAAGAGTATAATTGTCCATTGTCTTGAAAATATGTGGATGAATAAAAAAACTATGAGCTTCCTTTTTTTAACCATATAATTGTCCATAACCCGTTATTCAAGTAATAATATCTATCAATCAATTTTGCCCCCATGAAACATATTTGGCCTTTCACTATTGCCTTTGTAGTTTGTAATGATTCTCATTAGTGTGTTTCACTTTGTTGTTTACTCCGGCCACATGACATGCCTTTCTTGCTTTGCAATCCCACCACCCGGACAGTATAAGTATTAATATCCATATATTTTCATTATTGTATTTAGATATGAATAGTTATATCTATTTTTTTAAATAGGCAAAATGCAGAAATAATAAATTATTAGGTCGGTTGTTGAAAAAGCTATGGAGTAAAAAAACTAAAGGATAAAAATATTCTTATTCTTATTGTTTGAGAAGTTAATCTTTTTGCCTGTAAAACGAAAATTGCCAATTTTATTTGATGAGGTGACATTTTTTTGTTGATTTGGTTGCAGGTGTGCAATCAGCAATATCTTACTCAGCAAAGTCAACATAAAATCTTAAATTAGTAATTCAAATTCTTTATGGAAATAAATTGTACTCAATTTGATAAAGACATAAAAATCAAAGAAGATATCTAACAACTGACAAATACCAATTTGCATTCAAATTCACGATAAAAGTCCCACGGATGACAAATACCAATATGGCAATTTGGAATAAAGGAGACAACTCTAACAAATTTGATTGTTGTTGTACAATTGTCGTAAAAATCACAAACAAATGAATAGTTCCGTTTTAGTTTTTGACAAATTCCATTTCAATAGAGTTGTGTGTACAAGCATACAAATTCCAACACAAACAATTCCACATTTCCATTTTAATTTGATAAGATATACATGCATATAATTCGATTACATTGTCCATTGTCCAGCTTCTTTGTGGCTTTTGGTTTTTCTATAAAATCTCGTTTCCTGTTAAAAAAACAGATAAACATTTCATATCTAAATTTCAATTTGAAGAAATCAATTTCAAGATTAATAGAACAATCAACAACACCCAAAATTTTATCGAAAGTATATTATGCACATTTAAATTTGAACCAAGTTTGTTAAATAACGATTTAGGTAGACATTTTGTAAAAATATAAATATAATGGGAATCGGAAGGTACATACAATATACGACTTTCACAAATGAAATGATTATCGATATATATGTGTTTGGTCTATTGACGTTGAATATAGTTTATTAAAAGATAGATAACATTGACATTGTCAAAATATATGATGGTCAATTTTAGAAGAGATGTATCCACAAATCGGATATATATTTAGTCTTAAGATGTTAAATTTCTCATTTAATTAGTACTAAGAGAATTAAAGGATTATTTGGAAGGACCTTATTAAAGATTAAGGATTTGCAATACTTTATCTATTTAATAATTAGTTAGAGAAAGAAAGAAGAATGCCCGATCTGAAATTTATATAACGGTAATAATAACATTAACAATAACAATAATAATAATTCATGTTAAATTGGTCTTTACTATAAAACACACAACCTATAAAAAAAAGGCTTACCCCCTCGCTTAAGACTTAAGAGAGCATGCTCCAAGTAAGAGGGAGGGAGAGAGGGATTGAGAGAAAGAGGCGACATATAAATTAACAAGAACAAAAGATACCTATGATCAATGGATCGAGCTTTGTTTTCAATTGAGGTATATTTTATGTTAAAAAAACTTCAATTTTTGTGTAGTTTATGCTTTACATACATAATCAATTAGGATGGAAAAGTCAAAACCTGAGATGCACTAAAAAAAGAATATATGAATAAAGGAAGTATCGGCCGAAGACAATGGCAAATTTCGACGATTAATGGTCGAAGAAATAAGATTCAAATCCCACAAACTTCAACCTAAGGTGGGATAAAAAAAAAAGTAGTGTTGTCTAGTGTTGTCCTTTTTATGTTGTTAATTAGACCATCACACGTACATGCCTCACAACAACACATGTTGTTGACATGCCCTCGGGCAAGGTGTTGCTACACCACATCCCTTTGCACAAGGTCTTTGAAATTGAAGAGTTCGTCGCTGAAGCACCGTGCAACGCTATCTTTATTTCCCTCTCTAAATATTATTTGGTATTTTTTTAAAGGTTTGAGAGGTATGTATTTTTTGGAAAGTAATTTTGTGAAAATTTGATGTGGAAAGTGATATAACGTTGATATAGTGTGAAATGTTGAAAGTTTAAAAGATGTCTTATGATAAAAGTACTCCACATGTAGGAGCTGACCACATAAGCCAATATTAACTCCATTAACCTCTTACTAGCCTTAGAAAATGGTGTTTACTAGTAGGAAAGAAGTGAGGAAAGGAGAAGAATAGCGAGAGATAGATAGACCAGGTCTTCTCTCTCTCTCTTTTGTGATGTCCCGTAAGCAGACCCACACCAACTCCTATATGAACTAGTGAGTTAGTTGCCACATCATCTTACGAAGGGTCTTACGCCACCACTTCATATAGCCTTATATTCTTAGATGTAACTAGGATTTTACTCGTGCGTTGTGGCAACAGTAATAGATTTAAGTAGAAGAACTCTTTCAGTAGCAATATAAGTTTATGAAGAATTAAGTTGACACACTAAAAAAGTTGGGGAACAAAGTCATGGATAGAAACTTAGGAGGACTTAAGTTGTCAAAACACAAAAGTCAAGGACAACATCTATGCCAAGAAAAATGCTTAAAAATAAGCACGAAAACGTAAAAACTTTACGCCAAAACGTAGATAAAGTCGGTGGATAGTAAAATGAAATTATATAGTACAGGGGTAAACTTGAAATTTTATAAAATGAAGGGGGTGTAAGTTTGTGACGACAATAATGTATTTAAGAAGATGAACTCTTTTAAAGTCGAGGGGTGAAAGTGATATTTTATAAATTTGAAGGATGATAACTATAAAAAAATCAGATTATATATACCATGGGGTAAACACAAAAGTTTAGAAAATTGAAGGGGTGGAAGCGACAATTTAAAAGGTTTTAAAAGTTAAAGGGATAAAAGCATAATTTTGAAAAATAAAGGGTATAAAGCATCATTTTACTAACTAAAAGGAAAAGAGTGACAGAAATTAAAATTACAGGACTAAATGATGAATAGATGATGAAAAGTGGGCCACCGACTTTCCTTTTTTATTATTATAGATATAATATGGGCTGAGACCCACTCCAAACTCCAAAGTCCAATCTAGAGGTGCATATTTGATCCGTCCAGAACAGAATTGGAGTCTAACTGGTTTGGAGGTAAACGGACTGGATATATTTGATCCGAAGAATATGGGTAGGATTAGGCTCTAACTCTATTTATTTTATTTTTTATTTAATTAAAGATATAGCATGATTAATACTATATTACATTGTTAGTTATATTGATTGATTGATATAAATAATCAAATGGTCTAAGTTTAAATTGTCTAAGAATTTACCATACTGTTTTGGGAGGTTATAGATCTATGTTTTTGAACTTTTCTGTTTTGTAAATTAGTTTACGATGAATTTATTTACTTTTTTTTTCTCCAAAATGTTAAAAGAGTCATGGAAGATGGTTAGTGAGATTACTATTTTACTGTTTTAGTTGAATTTGGACCATCTAGTATTATATTTTTGCAAAGTTTAATGTTAATAAAAATATTATTTAACGTATTTTAACAAAAGAGAACATATTTTCGCAAATTTCTCTATATAAAACGGTGGTACACTTTATCTAGACAGTTGTACTGTTGTAACCTACCCATTAAAAGTTGTACTTTCTGCATGCTATATTGTATTCTCTGCAACTTAAGATGTACCTTGAGAAATAAATGTATCCCTGAATATGATGGTGGGATCCACATTCCAGCAAAAATATATTACTGGGGTCAGATTGCGTGGATTTGTTGATGATTGAATGCTTTTAAAACTGTCTTTCTTCCCCACTTTTCACATCTTCTTCTTCTTCTCTTCTTCAATCCAACGTTCTAAGAGAAATGGGCCGATTGTTCTTAGTAACCTTGGAGGGGAAGATTTACAGTTGTAAGCACTGCAAAACCCAACTTGCTCTTTGCGACGACATTGTTTCCAAGGTCAGTTCAGTTCTTTCAATCCTAATCTGCTATTTTTGATCGATTCTACCCATCGATCTTCTGGAATTTGAAGATAATCATTCAATTTTTGAATCCCATATTCTGATTTTGATTTTTTTGTGCAAAATCTCCATCGATGATGAATTTGACTTGAATACATTAGAATTAAGAATTTATATCTACATTAAATTGACCTAAAACCCGTCAAAAATAACTCCCTGTTGAAATTGCAATTTAATTCAACTGGTTGCATTGAACTATGTGAAGAAACGATGTGAATTCGAGTGGATTGGGATTGAAATTGGTTATCTACATCACAAAATTTGCTAGTTTGTGTGTTTCTATGGCAAATTCTTGGTGTTCTTAGCGTGTTGATGTATTTGATTTAAAGAACTTTGCTGATTAGGGTTTACTCTTTCCCCTTTTTCATCCAGTCCTTCCATTGCAGACATGGGAAAGCTTATCTCTTCAGTAAGGTGTAAGTTTTCATTGCTCCTATATGCTAATATTGCTCATTTTTTTTATTATTATTTGAAATGCCTTTTTGACAATGTGGATGTCACTATGCATTTCTTCATGTTTTATACTCTTACAGAGTAAATGTGACAGTTGGGGTAAATGAAGATAGAATGATGATGACAGGATTACACACAGTTGCTGACATTTTCTGTGTGAAATGTGGATCAATCGTCGGATGGACATATGTAAAATCTTGAGGCTTTGTGTTTTCACCATTTTAAAATTTTATTATTTATTTATTTTTTATAATTTTATGGGTCGCATTTATCTGATTTGTAGATGCGACCATAAAATTGATATAACCGGACTGAAATATGAATGTATAACTTGATGACAGGAAACTGCTCATGAAAAGAATCAAAAGTACAAGGAGGGAAAATCGGTTTTGGAGAGGTTAATATGAGACTAGAATTATGTATTTTTGGGAAATTTATATGATTACAATGTTAATATAATTGATCTTGAGTTTATGCAGGTTTAAGCTTTCTGGGCCAGATGGAAGCAATTATTGGGTTAGTAATGAAGCACAAATTGGTCGAAGTCAACAAGAAAATGTTTGATGATGAATTGGTATTTGACAATTGTAAATTCTTACACCCCTTTTCATCCTAATGTTATGAAATTATTAAGTTGTGAACAAGAAGGTGTTTAATGGTTCTTTGTTATATAATTCTTGGCTTCTTTTTAGTTTACTTTACAATAAAAGACACGTTAAAAAGAAACAAGTCTAAACTGAAAATAATGGTTTAATGTGCAATTTTAAAGATTCGTGGTGATTTTGAAGTATGAGCTTACTAAGTATGATTATAAAGGATCGAAAAGAATGTTTACAAGGTTTGGTTCCAAAAATTACATGAAATTCTAAGAAATGTATTAAGCTCTAAACAAAGTTTATATGCTAGAACATCCTCTTATCAAGGCATTCGGAATTTTAAAGAAAGTTTATATATGCTAAATAAATTTGCTTTAAAACATGAATCTTAAAAATGGTTGAAAATATAAATTTGCGAGTAAATTACATTTTTGGTCTGGTGGTATAACACCGATCTAACAATTTGGAGGTTTGGTCCTAGTTTTGAAATTTTGACATCAATGGTCTTTATGGTTGTCAAATCCATAAGTTTTGGTCCCTTACCCCGTCATCGTCCGTTAAAATTCACGCCTGTAATGTAACAATTATACCCCTCATTTTGCCTTTTATTTTTATTTTACTTTAATACAAACTATCAGCTTCCTCCCAACCTCAGTTTTCCATCTCTTTCTTTTTGTAGTCCACGACCACCCATTCCGCCTCCTATCACCCGTGACACCTATGCCAAAACCACCATTGACACTCCCTCCTCCATGGATCTCCTCTACTCCACTTACCAACTCTGAACTCTCTATGTCCCTCTGTGGCGCCTGCAATTTCAAGCAAAATCTAAGACCAAAACATAAAAGTATGTGCATCCATTTTATGTTCCACAAGACATTATTTTGGTAGAGTAACGTTATGATATTCCATGAACGTTCTCTGCAACAACCGACACCATTATATATATATATATATATATATATATATATATATATATATATATATATATATATATATATATAGTGCTGGTAGTTTACGATAATATTGGATGGGAAAGTTATGTATGCCCAACAGACATGACACTTGGTTTTTTACGGGAAAAATAAAAGAACATATACACCTATCCTATATGGATCCGGTTTCAAGATCTGCTCCTTCGGCCTGTCAAGGGAGGGTGTTGCCCATAGACCCCGCTAGAGGTGCTGCTCCCGGACCTCCATGTTCCAGAGTTTACATTAGTTTATTTGAATGTCCACTCTACGCGGCCAATATCATATTATAGCCAAAGCTAAACTTTTTTTTTGTCTCAAGTTAATCCCAACTATAATAAAAGGATTTATTACACTAAAATTATCAACACTTTACAACATTGGGTTGTAGCTTAATCTGATTTTGAGTTGGAGGTGGTCATGTACTTTGTTGTTGATGGTATACGGTGGTAGGGCTGTAAACGAACCGAACGAACACGAACGAGGGCTTGTTCATGTTCGTTCGTTTAAGTTAGTCGAACAAATAAACGAACATCAACGGATAAACGAACAAGTTTTATTGTTCATGTTTGTTTGTTTAACAAATTACATTGTTCATGTTCGTTCGTTTATGTTCGTGAACATGCTAAACGAACATAAATGAACAAAGATAAACAAACATAATTGAACCTATATGAACATAAATGAACATATCATATACTAATGTAATCAAACACAATTAAGCATATATGAACATAAAAAGAACTTATATAAACAAACATAAAGAAACGTAAATGAACGTTCACGAACATAATCGAACGAACGAGATCATTGTTCATGTTCGTTCGTTTAACTAAACGAACGAGAATTTGTGTTCATGTTCGTTCATTTATTAAATAAACGAACTTCCCGCCGAACGGTTCACGAACTGTTCACTGAACGTTCAGTTCGTTTACAGCCCTATACGGTGGTGTTCAAAATTGATTGTGATGGCAGTGGTATTCAGTAGTGTTGGTGGTATAATGTAATTTACTCTAATAATGATTGGGAAAATGACACATTATTCCAACAATGTTTTTGGAATTTATTGAATCACTCCATTAACTTTTCTTGGTGCTTTATGGGGGCATAAAGTTGTTTTTGTAGGGTCTAATTAGTCCTTTTTTAATAAACGAAGGGGTGATTTGGTGACTTCTTTGCCACCTCATTTAATATGTCGACGTGTAATTGTTGATTGTGTCTCATTTGGGTTTTTAATAAGACCAAAACCAACAACCCTTTAACTTTATCCTTTTTCGTCAACTGTATCCATTTCCTCCCTCTGTTTACTCTCCTCAAACATGGTTGTCTACATCATTGTCGATTTGCAAATGTAATGTATATTTGCCAAGTACCCCATACAATACACCGACGATATTAATCAGAGGTCGGTGAGCATTGATTTCGCAGGCATGGACAAGGATGAATGTTATGCGTTTGTTGAAAGATTCATAGAAGAAAATATGAGAATCTCTATTATTGTATTCCCGATTTTAATTTTCCAAAAGGTATGAGGTTAGTTAAGACTTAACTTGATCATGCCGACTTTATAGCCATTGCATATGAATGTGGTGCTGAAATTCTAGTGTATGTACACCACTTTGGTAATACTAACCTGCTAGAGTGGTTGGAGGAAGAAATAGAGGAAGTATGTTAAAATGTGTGTATTTGTACAAACTTAACATTCTTGTGTTGCAGGGTTAAAGTGGTAAGTAATTTAAGGAGATGGGTGTTTTGTGTTAATTGTGTATTTCTTGTGGACTGTGGTGTATTTTGTGCATTGTTCTTCGGGTTTGTGCGCGGGTTGGATGGATCCATGTACCCGGATACTTAAGGCGTGCTGAAGGGTTGCAGATCATAATTTCATACACACAAAATATCTTCGTCTGTTGAAAGCTCTCTCAAGACTCAGATTAGGGTTTCATCTCTTCGTTGTTCTGTTCTTAATCTCTTTGTTAGATTAGGGTTGAGTGAAGTTGTGAGAGTAGATTAGGAATATTTGTAGTGAGGTTTCTTTGTAAGTATCTTAAAAACCATCTGTTCATTTGTCCTCAAATGATATAATGAATGATGATGTTGGGAAAATGTGTTTGTGTGTTTCTTAAGATGGTATCAGAGCACAAGACTTCGATCTTGGTTTCCGATAGCCTTCGTCTTCACCATTGAGGTAATTTTTCGCTCTCTTTGTTGTTTAGATCATCTGGATCTTCGTTGTTCTCCTTGTAAAGTTCTTTTTTAGATTCTTGGTACTGCGAGTTTCTTTGGTTGTTGCAGGTCTGTTGTCGAGTGGAGATCCTCGTCTGACTTGTTGTTTGTGAGTGGAGATCCTTGGTAACAGAACGCTGACTCATCAGATCGATTAATCTTGACTCTGAAATAACTCTCACGAGAACGGATTTCATCACTGTTAACTCTTGAAGAGAACGGAGTAACAAGAGTCGGTCTGTCTTCCTTCTTCACGGTTGTTGTGAGCTTTCTTGTTCCTTTTTTTTATCTCTATTTCTAGTTGTAGAATCTGGGAGATCCTGGTTGTCTTGAGTACACCAGTTATTTTTTGGTTAATTGTTTCTTCTGTGATTCTTGTCTTGGGCCCCAACATACTGTGGTGACCATCTGGACTTAAGGAATCACAGTTGTCTTTCTTGTTAAGTTTCTTTGATTGATTGTTTCTTTGTGCATCATGATTGATTCTGAATCCGGTAGTGGTTCTAAGACTCCTAAGACTTCTGAGTCAGTGAACTACGATGATCCGTTGTTCATTCATCCTTCTGATAATACTGTTACTACTGTTATCAATTTTAAGCTAACTGGGACCGAAAATTTCCGTGTATGGCGTAGTTCTATGACTAGGAGTCTTAAAGCTAGGAATAAATTAGGGTTTGTTGAAGGTAAAGTGACTAAGGGTTCTAGTGATGAACTTCAGTCACTAAAGTGGGAGCGTGCTAATGCAGTTGTTTGCTCATGGATCCTTGGTTCTTTGTCTGAGTCCATTTATTCTAGTCATGCTTGTTCTGATTCTGCTAAAGATATTTGGGATGAACTGTTTGAAACCTATAATAAAGCAGATGGGTCTGTTATCTTTAATATTCATCAAAGAATTAACTCTCTTAGTCAAAATGGAACCTCTCTTTCTGAATACTTTAATAAACTTGATACTCTCTGGAAGGAGTTTGATGGTCTTACCAGTCTTACTGAGTGTACTTGCGAGGCTGCTGCCACATTTAATGATCACTCTAAGCTGATGAAGTTAATGCAATTCCTTAGTGGTCTAGATGAATCTTTTAGTCAAGTAAAGAGCCATATACTTTTGATGGATCCTCTTCCTAATATTAAGACTGCCTTTTCCATTGTTTCTAGAGAAGAGTCTAATAAGAAGAATGGAGTTATCTCCTCTTCTTCTAGTGTCTCCAAAAATCAATCTTCTGCATTTAATAGTAGGTTCAATGATAGAAAGGTTCAAAATAATAGTTCAAATAAAGGTAGGAATCAGAACTTACAATGTAAAACTGTGGACTTAAGGGTCATTCTGTTGAAAGGTGTTATAAACTAATCGGATATCCAAAAGATTTTAAATTCAGAAGTGAGGCTAATAATGATAATATGAAGAGTCAAAATAAGTCTTTCACCAGTAACTCCTCATCAGTTCCTTCTGGTAGTTCTTTTTCATCTAGTGTTGTTTCAGAAACTGGAGGTAGTAATGCTCACTATTTCACAAGTGAGCAATACAGCAAGCTGTTGAGTCTCATAAATGAAAAGTCTTCTGTCTCAGAGGATACTTCTGTGAGTGCTAATATGGCAGGTATTGGTGTTCCTTGTTTTCAGTCATGTAATTCTTTTTTTGAACATCAGAAATGGATAGTTGACTCAGGTGCAAATCAGCATATGACTTCAGCTGAGTCACTTCTTCATGATACTATTGATGTTTCAAAATTAAATCTTCTAGTCAGTCATCCTAATGGTTCTTGTGCCAAAATTAATAAAATTGGAAATTTACAATTTTCAAAAAACTTAACATTGTTTGATGTCTTTGCTATTCCTGATTTTAATGTAAAATTACTTTCTGTACATACGTTGTGTAAGGATACAAACTGTGAGGTTGTTTTTAATGAACATGAGTGTAAAATTCAGGATTTACAGTCAATGAAGGTGGTGGAGAATGGTAAAGAAACTGGGGGATTATATTATCTTAATTCTTTTCCCTCAGGTATTTGTTCTGTTAAAACTAACTTTGCTAAGTGTTTTGTGTCTAAGTTAACTTGGCATAGTAGATTGGGCCATCCTGCTGAACAAGCATTAAACTGTTTAAAAGATAAACTTAATTTTACTAATACTAATCTCCCACCTTGTGATGTTTGTCATAAGGCCAAACAAACTCGTGAACCTTTTCCTCTTAGTGTTCATAGTTCATCTTTTTTAGGAGAGTTGGTTCATCTTGATGTTTGGGGTCCCTATAGAGTGTCTACTAGGGAAGGTTTTTAGGTATTTCTTGACTGTTGTGGATGACTTCACAAGGGCTACTTGGGTCTATCTTTTAAAAGGCAAAGATGAAGTTTATAATTGTTTTACATCTTTTTATAGTATTTTGATAAATCAATTTGATTCAAAACTTAAAACTGTTAGATCAGATAATGGGACTGAGTTTTTAAATGCTAAAATGAGTTCTTCTTTAAAACTTAATGGGATTCTGCATCAAACATCTTGTGTTTATACCCCACAGCAGAATGGGGTGGTTGAAAGGAAACACAGACATATTTTAAATGTTGCTAGATCCCTTTTGTTTCAATCTGCTCTTCCAATTGTTTACTGGGGAAAAGCTGTTCTTACTTCAGTTTTCTTGATTAATAGAATGCCCACTTTTGTTTTAAAAGGTTTGTCTCCATATGAGCTTGTTTTCAAAAAACCTCCTATGTTTGAACACTTAAGGGTATTTGGTAGTTTATGCTTTGCCACAAAATTAAATAATCAAGACAAGTTTTCTGAAAGGGCTGAAAAATGTGTTTTATTAGGATACTCATCTGAAAAAAAAGGGATACAAATTGCTAAGTCTTGACACCAATTCTGTTTTTGTTTCCAGGGATGTGAAGTTTTACGAGTCTGTATTTCCTTTTAAGATGAAGTCAGTATCTGTTGATAAGAATTATGTTTGTGATAATCCTGTAGACCCTTTTTCCTATGATGATGTTGATAATCCTGAATATATAATTGATGTTGTCAATTTGGATGACCTGAGTATTAACCACCAGTTGGATGGTTCTAATGTAGCTGAGAATTTGACTGATACCTTCTTTGATTCTACACCTGGTGACAGTTAGACTAACGAGGCATCTATGCCTCTGTCTGGTGTGTCTATGCCAGGTCCTTCAAATGTTTCTGAGGAAAACAGTCATTTAGATTCCTTACCTTCCTTAGGACAGTCTGTAGGAGTGTCTAGGTCTAGAAGAGAGTCTAGAATGCCTGTTAAGTTTAGTGATTACATTGTTGAGGGAAAGCATAAATATGGCATTGAACGAACTCTTAACTATTATGTTCTTAGTGAAGAAAATAAATGTTTTGTTTCAAATCTTAATAAAACAGTTGAACCAAAAAGTTTTGTTGAAGCCTCTTCTGATCCTAATTGGATAGAGGCTATGAACAAAGAAATGGAAGCTTTGTATAGGAATCATACTTGGGACATTGTTGATTTACCAAAAAAAATAGAAAGGCAATTGGTTGTAAGTGGGTATATAGAATTAAATACAAACCTGATGGTGTGGTTGATAGATATAAGGCTCGCCTTGTAGCCAAAGGATATAATCAGAGAGAAGGTATTGACTACCAAGAAACTTTTCTCTCCTGTGGCTAAGATAGTAACTGTACGCGTAGTTTTATCTTTGTCTGTTAACAAGTCTTGGCCTTTATATCAACTTGATATAAATAATGCCTTTCTTTATGGGGATTTGTCTAAAGAAGTTTTTATGACTCTTCCTCCAGGATATCATTATGTAGGTGATAAAAGAGTATGCAAATTAGTTAAGTCATTATATGGTTTAAAACAGGCACCCAGAAAATGGAATGAGAAGTTGTGTGCTGAATTGTTTAGTTATGGTTTTTTACAAAGTGTCAATGATTACTCTTTATTTGTTAGGAATAAAAACAACTCTGTTGTTATTTTGCTGGTTTATGTTGATGATATAATTTTAACAGGTGATAATGAAAGTGAAATTAAAAGTGTAAAGTCTTTTTTAAACTCAAAGTTTTTGATTAAAGATTTAGGGAAGTTGAATTATTTTATTGGTATTGAAGTTTTAAATATAAATCAAGGAATTTGTTTGAATCAAAGAAAGTATTGTCTTGAACTTTTACATGAGTTTGGTATGTTAAGTTGTAAGCCTGCTTCCACTCCTTTAGAAGCAAATTTTGTTCCTAAAAGGAGTTATGAGTCTGATGATCCTCTGTTGGAAAATGTGACTGAATTTCAGAAGTTAGTGGGAAAGTTGATATATCTTACTATTACTAGACCTGACATTTCATATTGTGTACAAATTCTAAGTCAGTTCATGCATAAGCCTCATAAATCTCATCTGAACATAGCTTTGAGGTTGCTTAGGTATTTGAAAGGTAGCCCTGGAAGAGGTGTTTCTATTGTTAAAAGTGATACTTTTGACTTAGTTGGTTTTGTGGATGCTGAATGGGCAAAGTGTTTGTTTTCAAGAAAGTCAGTTACTAGTTATTGTGTTTATGTTGGAAATTCTTTGGTGTCTTGGAAGAGTAAGAAACAAACAACTGTTTCAAGATCTTTTACTGAGTCTGAGTACAGAGCCTTAGGTTCTGTTACTTGTGAAATAATGTGGATTTTAAAAATTTTGTTTGATTTGGGAATTAAAGATTTAACTCCTGCTAAAGTTTTTTGTGATAATGAATATGCTATAAAACTTGCTTTAAATCTAGTCTTTCATGAGAAAACTAAGCATTTTGAAGTTGATCTACATTTTGTAAGAGAAAAGGTTACTAATGGAGTTTTGAAAATTGAGAAAATTAGTTCTTCTAAGCAAAGAGCTGATATTTTAACTAAGTTTCTGAATCCTATGCAACATAATTTTTTAGTAAGTGAACTTGGTTTGGTTAATCCTTTTAGTAATGGTTAGTGTTTTTGAATGTTAAGTTTGAGGAGGGGTGTTAAAATGTGTGTATATGTACAAACTTAAAATTCTTGTGTTGCAGGGTTAAGGTGGTAAGTAATTTAAGGATATGGGTGTTTTGTGTTAATTGTGTACAAAATTTTGTTGATAATATCCAAGAAGAAGTAGTTGATGATATCCAGGTTGATGCTGAAATGGTTAAGATAGGGCATGAGGATGATGATACCAATCCTCATTTTCTCAAAAAGGATAATGGCCCAGATTATGAGATGGATGAGAATGTAGATCAAGTTGAACCTGCTGATGCTGACATGACTGTTGATGTTGACATGACTGAGAATGAAGCTGAAGAGTCTGATGTTACTACTGATTTACTAAATATTTTCAATGAAAAGCAACACTAGAAGGAGCAGCAACCTGTATTTGGTATGAGGTTAGAGAATCCTAAACAAATCAAACACATGCAATGTAATTATGAAGTTGCAAATGGTTATCAATTATGTTTTATGAAAAATGATAGTAGAAGGCTATTAGTGAAATGTTGTGATGGAAATTATAGTTTTAGGTTTTGGTGTTCATGGGTGAGTGATGATCAGCCTTTCCATATCAAGTCTCTTATAAGTGAGCATAATTGTTCTTGGAATTTCAAATTTGGATCAATTTTCACTTACATATGGATAGGTAGCCATTTCACTCAAGAATTTGTAAACAATCAGAAGATGAGTGTTAGACTGCTTACAGAGGGGGTGAAAAACACATTTGGCATTGAAGTGGGTATGAGTCAGTGTAGGAGAGCCAAGAAGTATGCTTTCACTCTAGTTGAAAGAACAATTATAAATAATTATGCCAAGCTATGATCGTATGTTGAGAAAATAAGAAGATCAAACCTATGTTCAACTGTAAAACTTTATGTTAATGCAATGTCTGATGGTAAAGATTATTTTGGTAGGATTATATATGTTTTCAAGGGGTGAAAGATGGTTGGAGGTCAGGGTGTAGAAGGATAATTAACCCAGATGGTTGTTTCCTAAAAAGTTTTTGCCAATGTGAGTTACTTTGTGTTGTGGGTAGGGATGCTAACAATGGAATATTCCCAATTGCTTGGGCAGTTGTATGTGTAGAGAACAAAGATAATTAGAAGTGGTTTATTGAAAATCTTATAGATTATTTGACCTTTTGCAAGTCAATGAATTGTTCTAGTTCTAATGTCTGATCAACACAATGTATGGGTCTGTCATTCTAACTTCATCATATGATTTTACATATGTATGGATTGGTTGAGGCGATGAAGGAGCTCTTACCAGCAGCAGAACACAGACATTATGCAAGACATATCTATTCCAACTTTAGAAAGAAATTTCTTGGAGAATAGTTTGAAAATATTTTATAGAGGGCTATTAAAGAAACAACTGGAGAACATTTCAATGCATCCATGAAGGAGATTCAACAAATAAACCATGCTACCTTTGTTCACATTATGGAGAGGAACCCTAGAACATGGTCTTTGGCTTTCTTCAAAAAGTTCACCACGCTTCTTGTGAATCTGTGGAGAATGGATACTCAAAAGCTTCAATAGTGTTATAATGGACACTAAGAAGAAACTCTATATCACTATGTTAGAAGATATATGTATTTATGTGAAGCAAAGGATGGTCAAAATGCAAGTTAAGGGACAATGATGGAATCGTTACTTAGGTGTGGTTTGTTTTTAAAAAATGTCTGAAGTTTGCGGACCACATCTGTAATCCTTTGCAGCAGAAGAGATGGACCAAACAGTTGCAGTCTGTTAGGGATGAGCATATGGATCAGGGAACCGGCCGGAACCGATACTGGAACCGGAACCCGATGGAACCGGTCAGGCCGGGACGGATACTATATTATTGCCGATTTTTGGAACCGGGAACCGGTCATTGGAAGCGGCCCAAAACTGGGAACCGAACCGGACCGAAATATTTCTCAAGACCCGGCAAAAACCAGCAAGAACCGGCAAAAACCGAAACTTTAACCGAAAATTTTCTCAAAATACGTTGCTATTTCTTTAGGATCAGTTCCAACATTAAAGACCCGACAAGAACCGGAACCGGTAGACCCGGCGGTCCGGTTCGGTTTCTATTTTTTCCACCAAGTTCGGTTCCCGGGTCGGGTCCGGTTTGGGCCGGTTCTAGCCGGGTCGGTTCCTTTGCTCATCTATACAGTTTGTAATAAGAAGTTTGTTTGTTTCTAACATCTGCAGCCTGTTGCAATAAACTGAAATTTAAATAAACTGATTTACAAACTTAAAATAATTTCATATTACAATAATTGTTCTGAGAATACATGTTCTAGATCATGTATTACAAGTGAAATCTTTATTTTTGTTAAACATATTATATTTATTCATTTAAATTATATTTAATTTTGTAGTTGTTAACCAAATTGTTGTTTAACATATAAGATATGTCACGTATTTAGAGCAAATATAGAAGTCACTTTAATGACACTATTTATCTACACCACATCAAATAAAACCGATTCAAAACGTTTATATAAAATAATTAAACATAATAATTGCTAAATAACAATAAATACAATTTTTAATTTAGCAAACAATATGTTCATTTTGTTAAATTTTCCAAGACGATGGTTATTTCTTCGGTTAGCTTCAATAGTTTTTGTAATTTTAGTGATTAACTTTATAGTTTATTAATATTTGGTTGTAGACAGTGTAACACAAAAAAAAAATATTTATATGAAATTTACCAAACGGTTATGAAATTATGTAAAGTATACTTGAATTTTTTATAATATCCTTCATGATATTATTAAAATAATAACATGTTGAAAAAAAAAAAAAACAATTCCATGTTGAATAATATAACTTAAAGTAAGGGAAGAAGAGTTTGAAGAGGAGGGTTCAGTGTTGCACCACACAACACACGAACAACATTTTTTTTAAGTCAGAAGTCTTTTAAAGAATAAACAACTACGAAAGGCCAAGTGTTGCGTGTGTTCTGTGCAGCGTAGCCAGAAGTGGTCAAAAATGGTTTTTTAGAAAAACAAACAACCCATTAGTATGGCTTGACATCAAATACAAGTTGAATATGTTAAAAATTAAGCACATGTATGTAAAGATACAGCTTAATGAATAATTGACAAGTTTGAGCACTAATGAATTGCATTGACTGATATAGGTCTTGGCATGTTGTATCATGTGGGGTGATGAAGTTTGAAACAAGAAATGTGGATGAGTCTTATGTAGTTGATATACAGGAGAAGGAGTGCACATGCAGGTTGTGACAATTAAATGAGTATGGGTGTGTGCGATCAGTGGTAACATTATCATTATTAAACTCTAAGTATGATACATCATATGTAGACCCAATATACTTGGCATCCCTTTACCATAATTCTTACAAACACCCCATACATGAGATGAATGGAATGTAATCTTCAACAGAGCACATCCCTCCTATGCCTCCACTAAAAAGAAGGATGCCAGACAAGCCAACCTTGAAGAGAAGAAGAAATGCTTATCAAAGGACTGGAAAGATACATTGTATCAAAGTCAGGAACCTGTAACTTATGGTATATGAAAACAGAGAGGACACAAGAAGACCACCTGTAGTCAAGTGGAAAGGCCACCTAAAATTATTATTAGAAAAAAAAAATATTTAAGACAAATACAAGAGTCAGTAAACATGGAAGGGGCTGGGCAAGATAATGTTATGGTTGATGAAGGTGATCAAGATGTTAGGGTCAATGAAGATGAAGTATATGGTGGTAATGTAGGACAATCAATTAGGAGGAAAAAGTCTAAAGGAATCCTTAAAATGAAGGTGGCAAAAAAAGTTAAAGGTGAAGGTAGTAGTGCATCAAAAGCAATGAAGTTGGATTAGTTAGGGTGTGAGGGTATTTATTGGAAATCTGGTAAGAGGTTGTTTGGGTTAGGTGTATTTATGGTATTTTCAAGTATGGTATGTTTGTAAACAATGAGAATGATGTATGTTTTTTAAGTTTAAATAATGTTTCATTCATGGAATTGTGGTTCATCATTGTATATCTAGTGTTCATTTGGTATTTGGTAAAAGTTGTGTCGAATACTATCCTTATTTTCAATAATGAATAATTGTCGATCAAAATCTAGTTTTTTTCCATGTCATCTTGGGTTATAGACAAATGTGGGTTGACTGATCCAAATTTGTCCCTTTTTCAATTTTGACCTTAACCAAGTGGTCCCATAAATGTGAAATTATTTAGTAATGGCCTTTTGCGAATCAAAATCCATTTCTGTCCTTTTTCCATTTTTGACCTTAATCAATTGTGAGACAAAACTGTAAAAAGTTTTGTTAGACAAATAAAGTAATACATTCCTTTTTTATTGATTTTTTAAACATTTTAGACCATGTTCAACTTTTCTCCATTTAGGTTGTTGTGCAATCGTGGGGTTTTAGGGTGCCATTAAGTCCCTTTTTGACCATATTTTCCTTTTAGAATCCTTACAATGTGGTCCCAAATTGCATATCCAAGTTACATGTTTTGACCTAAAAGATACCTTTACACATGTTCTTGGATCATATTGGGATCGGAGTATCGGACAATATGCATAATAATGTAACCAAAATACAAAACAAGTTCAAGTTAACCATAAATTGTGTTTTCATTTGCTGGGTTTGATAAGATTACATGGGTTTACACAAATTTTAATAACTACATAGCAGTAGATTACATCCAAAATTTGGCTACCTAACTGTTACAGCCACATAAACAAACGATCGTCATCATAATCTTGCACCCCCAACAACAACATCATATACCCACTTACTATATTGAGATTTCAACCAAAAACACAAACCCAAACAAAGAAAACATATATCCTACTCCATCAGAAGAAGTACTTGTAGGTTGCCATCTTGACACCCATAACACCGACCAACCAAAAAAAAAACTTGTACATGTGCTCATATTCTTCTTGAGCGTCATTACCTCTATTGTAAGCTTCACATAGAAAGGGTGCATGGAGAAAAAATGGTTCTTGTGATCCTCCATTATGTTTGACAAATCCATGTGTCCTGCCTTCACATCATTAACGTCGCGATTGAGAGCATCTGTCTCTCTATCAAGCCTCTCTTGTAGCTCACGAAGGTCACCGTTCATTTCCTCCCTAATAAGGGACACCTCTAGATGGAGTTGGAGTAAGGTTATTTAGAGATCCTATGGACGGGCCCCATTTGAAGCGTTATCTTTAATATGGTGGTAGTCGTTGAAGGACCAACTATAACGGGGAGAAGATAGAGACGACATTTTTGTTGGATTAGTGTCTAAGCCCGTAACTATATTTGATAAGTACTTGACCCGGTTGTGCAACTTGACAGGGTGATTTATGAAGAGAGAAGAGATATTGTTAATATATTATGAGAATAATATATTAAAGAAATAATAATATTATTTGATTAAGATTAGTCATAGATTAATTAAGAATTAATTAGGTGACTAAAAGAGGTTAATTGAATAAAGGGGCTTAAACTGTCAAATGTGTGATAGTTGTATTTTGGGCTAGGAAACCCTATGGAGCAAGGGGTGGACGAAATTATGGGAGGATCCCATCAAGATTTCGTCCAAGGGCCTTAATCCAGAAGGTTTCATGGCCTGCTTGATGATTAAGTTGTCCATTAGTGTTTTGGCTGAAACCCTAGAAGCTCACAGTATAAATAAACCCCATGGGTTGGAGAAATCGACGACCTTGCTTCCTTGGGAACCCTAGAGCCGATTTCTACATCCCTCCTCTCTCTCCAAATCAACCTCTTGCTAGTTGGTGTTTGTAAGCCATTAGAGAAGTGACAATTGTGACTCTAAGCTCCAAGAACAAGAAGATTCAAGCAAGCAATCAAAGGTATTCATCTAGATCTAATTTCATATGTCAATTTTCTATCGTATTCACTAGATCTAGAATTGTAAGTCTTGGACACAATGCATGTTCAATTAGAGAAACCTAGATCCAAGCATTAGGGTTTGCATGTGCACATAGGAGAATTCTTATGGCTCAAACCCAACTATTTTCACGTGATTAGGGTAAGGAATTCGTTTGGGAAATTAGGGTAATTAACAAACTTTTGGGTATGACTAATTTAGGGCAGGTAATGAACAGTTGGAGTCTTGGGGGGTAAGCATGCAGACTCAAAAACGACGCCTTTTGATCCAACACGTTGTTGATGTGGCTTCATTTGATGATGTGTCTTTTTTAACCGGGTAAAATAGGTTGCGATGATTAAAACGACATGTCACTTCCGACTTTATGCCCCCATAAGAGACTGATTCGACAAATTCTAAAAACATTGTTGGGCTAATGTGTCATTTTTTCAATAATAATTCTAAAAAGAAAACATAAAAAAAAGACAAAAACAAGGGTATTATAGTCATTTCCATGCATTTAAAAGAAAAACTTTGATAGTACAAGATTACGATGATGATCGTAATCATTGTGTCAAATTTTCAAAACTATGACTAAACATCCATATTACCATGAACAAAAGTGTAATTTACTCTAAACTTTATTATTTAACAGAATTTTGTAAAGTTCTAATTTTCTATCAAAATGTGGATAATGTGTCATGGAATGATGTGAAAACAAAAGTGAACCAATTGTTAAAATATAAGTTTCCAAATTCGGTTTGGACCAAAAATGGGATTTCTATATCTAGACTTAGTTTTCTGTATGAATCTTTTAAACAAGTTAATTAAGGTTAAACAAATACGATTTCAAGAATCTTAAAGTTAAATCTTCTATTATTTGATATCTAGAAAATCATTAAGATTTTGACTTTAAGGGAAATCTTTAATAAAGTCCCATAATTTTGGTTCAATTTATATTTTAGTCATAAATTATTATTTTTTTACAAAAAGGTCCCAAAAATCGGCAAAAGTTTTCATTTTAACTATTTTTGACCGGTTGGAATCGGTAACAAATTAATTTGAGACTATTTCCTAAACTGACCCAAAATATTGGGACTTTTCTGTAAAAAAAAATTTTAAAACTTTTCTGCAAACAAAAATCTTATTATTATTATTAGGGATATCTCCAAAAAAAGTCCTTATATTTTGGGCAAATTTTTAATAAAGTCTTAAATTTTATTTTTTGAATAAAAAAGTCCTGACATTTTCACATTTTGAATAGAAAAACCCAAAAACCGGTTAATTTATTCACTTTAGCCCTTTTTGACCTGTTCAGCAGGTTATGAGACAAAATTGTTAATTTTTTGAAAATAATGAGACTTTTTTTGTAGATTTCGTCAAAAATTTTATATAATGTATAAACATATTTTTTACATATCTATATCTATTTTTACGTATTTGTGTATTTTTTATGTTTTAATATGTATATATTTGCGTATTTTTATGTATTTTAAATGTATAAACGTATTGTTTACTTATTTATATGTATTTTTAACCATTTTACATATTTGTTTTATGTATTTTTATATGTTATTTTTTATGTATTACGTATTTATATGTATTTCTATGTATTTTTACGTATTTATGTATTTTTTAGAGCTTTTTATATAAATGTTTATGTATTTCAAATGTATATAAACGTATTTTTACGTATTTATATCTATTTTTAAGTATTTACATATTTTTTATGTATTACGTATTTATGTATTTTTTAAGTGTTTTATATAGATGTTTTTGTATATTTATGTATTTTAAAAGTATAGACGTATTGTATTACGTATTTTTATGTATTTTTTAAGTATTTTACATATTTTTGTGTGTTTTTATGTGTTATGTATTTATATGTATTTTTGCGTATTTATGTATTTTTTTAGTTTTCTTATATAGATGTTTATGTATATTATGTATATTAAATGTTTAATTGTATTATTTTTACGTGTTTATATATTTTTTACGTAAAAATAATACAATTAAATAGTTAATATACATAAAAATACATAAACATCTATATAAGAAAACAAAAAATACATAAATATGCAAAAATATATATAAATACATAATACATAAAAACACACAAAAAATATGTAAAATACTTAAAAAATACATATAAATACGTAAAACAATACGTTTATACATTTAAAATACATAAATATACAAAAACATCTATATAAAAAACTTAAAAAATTACATAAATACGTAATACATAAAAAATATGTAAAATACTTAAATAGATAGAAAATACGTAAAAAATATGATTATACACTTAAAATACATAAATAGCTATATAAAAAGCTTTAAAAATATACATAAGTACGTAAAAATATATAAACATACATATAAATACATAATACAAAAAAAATAACACATAAAAATACATAAAAATATGTAAATTGGTTAAAAATACATATAAATAAGTAAAAGAAATACGTTTATACATTAAAAATACATAAAAATACGTAAATATATACATATAAAAACATAAAAAATACAATAATACATAAAAATAGATATAGATATGTAAAAAAATATGTTTATACATTATATAAAAATTTTGACGAAATCTGCAAAAAAGTCTCATTATTTTCGAAAAATTAACAATTTGGTCCCATGACCTGTTGAACAGGTCAAAAAGGGCTAAAGTGAATAAATTAGCCAGTTTCTTGGGCTTTTCTATTCAAAAGGAGAAAAGGTCAGGACTTTTTTATTTAAAAAATAAAATTTAGGACTTCATTAAAAATTTGCACAAAATATTGAGAATTTTCTGCAGATATCCCTTATTATTATTATTATTATTATTATTATTATTATTATTATTATTATTATTTTATGAAAAATATAAAAAGTATGCTATTTTTTAAATTAGTTATTATTAATATGGTTAATAATACGTATAAATACATTTAAATGAAAAAAAAAAAGAATATTAAAGACATTTTTAAGGTTGGAT